GGTCAAGAGGAATTCGCCGTCGTCTTCTGGTGAAACCGACCTTCGAATCTCTTCACCCAACACTTTCACTTGAAATGGAAGTGAGCTCAACAATTATGAAATAAGAGATTCCTCGAAACACAACTTTTCTTCGCAAACATGACTTAATTCACTATGAAGTTAGAGAAGATCAGTAAATAACCTCTTTAGATGTCCTTGGTAGTGAAGAAGGGAATAAATTGGGTAGGGATGTATATTGGAAACCCACAAATGCAGGTTTCCTTTTTAAAAATCTTCTCGAATAATACTCATAATATCAAGATAGAGGTTTTGAAATTGATGATATAAATGACTTTGTGTCTACCAGACGTGAATCATGAGAATAAAGAGTTAGAAAGGCTAAAAAAAATCATAGGCTACAGCAATTATCCGTTAAGATTAAGTATCAGTAATTTCGCAGTACTAAGAAATATGATGAGAAGAAACCCCTATTTAGGACAAAACATGTAGTTAGTCAACTCTTCATCCGGGTTCCAGATGCTACCATTCTGCCGGTTTCCAAATAGCTAGGCTAATTACTGAGGAAATGCAATGTTAGAGCGATGTATAAAGAAAGATGATTACCTTTTTCGATCATGTCATCTTTTAAACTCTTTGTAGCTCAGATTGTTATAAGGTTTCGTGCTCGTGGTAGGGTCTATGGAGGGGTACTAATTGACTCATACACAAGAAGATTTCAGATCACAAAGCCGGCAGCAAGGGTTTATGAGTCCAGAAGCCGGAAGTGGCTGAACATATGATCACTTCAGGGCCACAAATAGAGTCGTCTAAAACCCAACCCTTTGCAGGAAATGCTGACTTTACAACTAAGCGTAAGATTATAGACTCGATTAAAATTAAGAAAATATTGCACATTCTGAATAAGAGGGACGAGTGTATAAAAGTAATAGGGTGAGAGAGAAAAAGAGAAAGAAAGACAGAGAGCGAGAGAATGGGTGAAAGAAATAGAGAATGATAAAGAGAGAAAGAGTGAGCAAGTGAATTAGAGTCTGGCGTGGGCTGTAACTTGTCAATTGACTCATGAATATTGCAACAAACAGTGCACGTGTATCCGCAAGCCTAGACCAGACCTCAGCACTACACGATCGCACGTAAGTTTGTTTGCATAAAGAAAAGCTGTGACCACATCCGCTCCCCTTTTCGTGCATCAATCTCATTCGTCAGCATGCAAGTGGGGAAAACCCAAGGTAGCCAACCAAATTGTGAGCTACCTCATTAAGATCGTGAAGGTGTGCATGAAATGTAAGTAGGATTTTGACCGGCCACCTTTGCTGACTTTGTGTGTTTTGTGGTGATTGCTTGTAAGCTCAGTACGAATGACTCGGTCTTGTGGGGCGATGAGCCGTTGTCTTTTTCACACAATCCAACAGTCAGACGTCCAAGGTAATCTCTTTTCGGTATCGGGTGAGACCGATTTACGAATCCATTCCAGCCGCCTTTTTGAAGCAAATGCAAGCTATGAAAATGGAATCGTCATGTCGACTCATATGATTGTGGGAAAATTGAACTACCAGTCCCCTCATAACTCTAAACGAAAAGGACGAATGAGTTGTGTTCACCCTACTTCGTTTAAGGTGACGAAGGACTGGCAGTTGAATTTTCCCATAATCATATGAGTAGAACTGATGTTTCCATTTAATTTCACATAGCCTTGCTCTCGCAAAACATGTTCGCATCCAGGGAGGACGGCAGTTTCCATGCCAAACGGGAGTCGAACGTTAACGTGTCGAACTTACACACTGCACTGTCATGGTTCGACTCCCACTGGGGGTGTTGATAAGACCTAAGCGAGGTCAAAACTGCAGTCCACTTTTGTGTGGATTAGAAGACCTTTTTTGGCCATTGTGGGAAAATTCGACCACCAGTCCTACATCACCTTACACGAAATATGAGGAATACATCTCATATTTGAGAATATAGTTTGACTTTGTCAGTTGCGCATGAGTATGCTCAAAATGTAATGTTCATATCATTCACGGGTTGTTCTGGCAAGGCAAATTGTCAGCCTCAAAAGGTGACAAAAAGCCAATCCGATATTGGATGCCGGGCTCTTTTCACAAGTCTTTCGATCTATCTCGTCATAAAGCAGTCGGCAAAGTACGTTTGGACACGATGAAATCTAATCATCATCATGCCTACATCAAGAAAGGCTTATCACAACTTTCGACTCCTTTATTTGGTGCATTCGCTCTGTTTTTACCTCGATTTTCAGCCTACGCAGAATGACTTGCAGATTTTATCCAAGCCTCTCATTTGCAAAAGATCTGCTGGAAGGCTTATATTTTTGTGCTATTTCATTTCGCTCTGCATCAATCCATCACTTCATTCGTCCATCCATTTATTCATCCATCTTTCATTATATTCCATACTGGCCTGTCTATGGACCCCAACAGCTCTCTTCTTCAATGTATCCCTAAATCTTCATCTTTCTATCCTATCTCTTCACTTTCAAAGCTTTTATTTCAACTTTCCTTTGCACTCATAAGCTATCCTTCATTTTGCACACTCCTGTCTGTCCATTCATTCCTCAATTCACAGCCAGTCCGTCATCTTGTCCAACCATTATCTCCACTCATGCACACATCGATCCATTCGTACATCTTCTACTGTATCCCTCCTCTCCCAATTCCTCCCAATTCTGATTCGTACACATCTTCCTCTTGACTCTGTCTCTCCGCCCCCCAATTCGGCGTACATTTATCCATTTTCCTGTAAATAAATTTTCCCTTTTTCGATTCCTCGAATCCCCCTAATCAAGCTGCCGGTGGCTTAACAGATAATTAAAACACTTTTTGAGGCAAGTACCAATCCGATTCGCCATGTTCGCCTCGCCAAGTTGCTGAGCTTTTTTCCACTGTCAGCTTCTGTATCATCCCTTCTTCACTGTTATGACGTACCATTCTCGACGATACCGGTCATCCTAGAGGCATTCTAGCAATTTTCTAATTAATGCCCATCCTCGTCTCTCGCCCAATGCCAGTGCCACTGGCGGACATCAGCTTCTAGGCCCTCTGTCTCCTCTGCCGCTGCGTCTGCCCACCTGACCCTGCCATCTTCACGCCCTACCAGTCTCCTTTTTATTCCACAGTTCGACTCCACTTTTGTCAGGATCCTCTTCACCAACTTGCCTCTCGCGCCTGCGTTACGGCCTCCCCACCCGGCCATTCCTCTTCGCTTATCTCACCTCGGCAACACATCTCTTCTCTCGCCTGTTGCCAACTCTAGTGTAAGCCAGGCCAAAGTATGTGTGCTCATGCCTTTCGGGGCCTTGCTACCGCTTTTTCGGTCTCCACGCCCCTCTATCTGCGTGCGAGCCCAATGGCTGGTACCTGCTTGTGTGCCGTCGAATGTATGTCAGCTTCACTGTTCTGAGAGGACGGACAGGAGGTGTGGCATTCTGGCATTGGGCGAGGGACATCAGAAGGGGCATTAAATAAATAACCGAAGCCTTTGCCTATCGGGCTTCCGATGTCAGCCGGAAATGTCAGATTCTGCCGTTTAACTGCTGCATTTTGGGGCCATAGCAACACGGACGATTTCTGTGGGCTAGCCTAGATACGCTCACTTGCGCTTTTGTTTTAATGTATTCGCATCAGTTTTTTCATACAATATATATATATATATATGTGTATGTGTATGTGTGTGTGTTTATGTATGTGTGTGATTGTTGCTGTTTACGCTACTCTGCATTTTAACGTGAATATCCCGTATGATAGGAAGTGTTGTTTGTGTGGACCGTCTGCATCACCGCGCTTGACCAGCTCCGACCTTCAAGTTTGCGCCACAAAGGAATAATACTTTTTTATCTCCTTCCTTGCTGGCATACATATCTGGAGGACCACTCCTTTATGCAATGGCTTTCATTTCCATTATTTCTCCAGTATCTGTGCGTTTACCCAACGCCCATATCCATAATTCCTCTCCCCATTCTCAAGTTCTCTCTCTTTCGTCCCCTACCTTTGGGTGTTTAGCTTTGGCTCCATACTCTTTTTCAGGCCCATGCCCGACGGCTACCGGCCAATTTACATGAAAATGGCGAGAATAACATTGTACTGGGTGTACAGCGCGCTGGAATATGAAGTAGTGAACGTTGACTTGATCACTTGGAGCGCACTAGCCAAATCATCTATTCGTGCGAGCATTAATCACAACTTTTTTATTTGTTCAATAAGTATAAAGCTCAACGGTTGCAAAAAAATGGGAGAAATATGGGCATTGTCAGACGACTTTTAGAGCTATGATAAAGGGTAGGTAGTTGAAATTTCCCACCATCAGATGATCAGGTCTGACGCTTCCATTCAATTTCACATGGAATTGCTTCCCACAAGGTGTTCTCATTCCAGCCGTAGTGAACTGCAGTTTCGACCTTGCCAGAACTGGTCTCGTCAGCACCCTCGGCGGGATTCGAACCCGGATTGTCCCATGGACATTATCTTATGTGGCCTAGGGTGAATACATCTCTTGTTTTGCGTTAGAATTCCTCTACTTTTCCCATTAATCCTAGCGTCCACATTGTGTCTGTGCTGGTTTTCTCATTTCGCGGCATCATTATGTGAGCCTTGTGAAGCTGGTGAGTTGAGCAGATGCCCAGTTTGTGTACTTTTGACAATCATCCTCGTTTATGCGATCCGTCTCTACAACTTTCCATGAATTAAAGGCGGCTTCTCGCGGAATGCTCAGCATGGTCTCGACTTTTGGCCTTTTTTACGTCCATTCTAGATTTGTAAGTAA